TGCAGATGACACCAAACTTTGTAAACAATACAATGTGAGCAAGATATTACTTTGCTGCAGAGGGATTTAGATAGACTGGGGGACTGGGCACTCAAATGGCAGATGAAATGTAATGTTGAAAAATGCAAAGTTATGCACTTGGCGTAAAGAATACACAAGCAACGTATACCCTTAATGGAAGCGAATTAGGGATAACAACACATGAAAAGGACTTGGGAATTGTTATAGACAACAAACTATGCAACAATGTGCAATGTCAATCAGCAGTGGCCAAGGCCAGTAAGGTATTATCATGCATGAAAAAGGGCATTCATTCTCGGGACAAGAATATAATTTTGCCTCTTTATAAATCACTGGTAAGACCCCATATTGAATATGCTGTGCAATTTTGGGCCCCTGTTCTAAAGAAGGATATTATGGCACTAGAAAAAGTGCAGAGGCGTGCTACAAAATTAATAAAAGGAATGCAACATATCGGCTATGAAGAAAGGTTAACAAATTTAAACCTATTTAGTTTAGAAAAACGTCGCCTGAGAGGGGATATGATAACATTATACAAATATATTCGTAGCCAATACAAACCATTGTGTGGAAATCTATTCACAAACCGGACTTTACATAGGACACGAGGCCATGAGTTTAGACTGGAAGAAAGAAGATTTCGTCTAAGGCAAAGGAAAGATTTTTTTACTGTAAGAACAATCAGGATGTGGAATTCTCTGCCTGAGGAAGTGGTTTTATCAGAGTCCATACAGATGTTCAAGCGGCTACTAGATGCATACTTGCAAGAACAGAATATTCAAGGATATAATCTTTCAATGTAGGGTAATAACTGCTTGATCCAAGGATAAATCTGACTGCCATTCTGGGGTCAAGAAGGAATTTTTTTTCCTAGCTTGTTGCAAAATTGTGCTTCAAACTGGGTTTTTGCCTTCTTTTGGATCAACAGCAAAAAACAAATGTGAGGTAGGCTGAACTTGATGGACGCAAGTCTCTTTTCAGCTATGTAACTATGTAACTCCTGTCTGTACTTTTTGGGTACTACTAACTGTGTGAGAGTCATGGGTACAGATCCTGCTACTACCTTCTCAGCGTGCCTGTACAGTAATCCTTTCTCCCAAGTATACCTCTCCCCCTCTAACCCTGCCTGATTCTGCGTAACCCTATCTTGCTATACCTGCAAGGACGGGTTGGTGACTACTTCAGTACCAAATTCTAAGCTCTTTTACAAAAGGGGGGGTAGGACTGTTGCTTACCTGAGCCTCAGAGTGTTCAGAAGATGCGGTAGTGCGAGCCTGCTGCCGTGTTACAACGGGTAGCGGTTCCTGCGCAGGGTGCTGAGAAACAAAAGCGGAGGTCAGCTCCCCCAAGTCGTTGCCCAGGATGACATCAGTGGGTAAATCCTGCATGAGGCCCACTTCCACATTCCCTGACCCTGCTCCCCAATCCAAATGTACCTTGGCAGTAGGAATTTTGTAAATAGCAACCCCTGCCACCCGAACGGCCACATATTCTCCAGTTAGCTGGTTCTTGGGAACTAGGTGATTACGCACCAGAGTTATGGTGGCCCCAGAGTCGCGCAGACCCTGTAGGTGCTTCCCCTCTACGTGCACCCCTTGGCGGTGTCCCTGCCGGTTGTCTGCAGCCGCTTGTATGCGGTTGACCTCATGGAGCGTGCCCAACGGTTCTTCATTGGACCCAGCCCAGAGGTGGATTTGTCGGGGCTCACTCTGGTAACAGTGTACCGCTGCCCGGTGTGCAGGAGAGTTGGTAGGTGTATTCCACGTGGGACAGTTTTTGTTCCTGGGACAGTCTCTCTGTATGTGTCCCTGCTGGTTACACGTGTGGCACCTGATGAACGAGCGGGCATTGTTGTATCGGGGAGGAGTTTGGTAGTTCCCCCCGCCCGGACGCAGTGATGGGGTGGGGGTAACAGTGGGAGGTGCGGTAGCAGTGCCCGCGGTGGGCCGTGACTGTGCCCGCTGTGCCCTTCTGGCATCTTGATATTCATCCGC